AAACAGAAAGTATGTGAGAGGACACCTAGCAAGGGCATAAGGCTCAAAGTTAAACAGTGGATCCCTGTCTAGGTTATGAAAATGTCTATATTTGATGCACAAATCTGCGAATATTCTGAAAGCTATTAATCACATGCTTCCAATGGGTAAAATGTAATATGCAAGTGGCACAGCAATAAACCTGACTGAAAGTTAATTTTATTCCCTTTAAATTTTTTTTCTAGTTCTTCTTAAGGGAAGAATAAATAGTTCATTAAGAAATTTCCGTATAACACAGACTATTTCTTTGGCAGTTGATTCTCATTGTCACATGCAAATACATGTGCACAGGAATGAAATAGGTAAAAAGTTTTTGTGTTCCAAGGAATCTAGTTTGATGTTATTTGTGTGTGTGCTTGTGTGTGTGTTTGTAAGACAAAGAGACAGAGAGACAAAAAGAGATAGAGAGATAGACACACACAGAGAAGCTGAGTGTGAGCGTGTGCGTGCATAAGTCAGAGTGAGGTGACAGAGGAGGTGTCATCAGAAACAGAGCCTCTGTCTTACTGTTTTGAGACAATGTTGCCGTCGATCCTCTGGGTTGGTTGTCTTTCAGCTAAGCTGGCTGACCGTTGGATTCTCAGAATTTGCCTGTCTTTGTCACCCAGTGCTGGGTTATATGTACACACAACCATGCCCGGTTTTTAACACAAAAGCTAAGGTTTCTAGCTCAGGTGCTCCTACTTGTAAGCTACAAGCCCTAAATGCTGGATACCTCCATCTTCTCAATAGGCCTTGAAACAAAATTTTCTTTCTTTAGGGTTTTGTTTGTTTGTTTTTTATTTTTTGTTTTTCTGTTTTGTTTTTGTTTTGAAAGGTCAAAAGATCTCACTATTATCTCTGGAGCTCACTATGTAGACCAGGTTACATACAAAGAGACCCTCCTGCCTTTACCTCCTAAATGCTGGGATTAAAGGCATATATCACTAATCCTGGCCAAATTACCTTCTTTACGAGAGTACTTGGCAAACATTTCTTCTCTACAGGTAAGGAAGGCATCATACTGTGAGAATCCACAAGGATCTTTTTTTCTTTCAGGTTTGTCACTATCAAATACAGCCTAAATTATTTATAAAGAATAAAGTCACATGAATAACCCACACAGGTCTGAAGTAAGGTAGCTTTCACCTCTGCTGGCAGGCATCGGGGTGAGTAATACCAGCCAACCAGTTAGGCATCACCTCCACGAGCAGCAGGGGGCTCTCCAACACCACACAGGCTCAGGAGCTAGGTGACCTAGGTTTTCACAGGTGAACTCAGATGTCATCCCATTGTCAATTGGTGATGTGCTTGCTGAAGGATAGTCTTAAAACCAACATTTATGAGCCAGATAAATTCCACTGATAGGAAGTTTCAGCAAAAGTTTAGATGTTGAATCATTAGTACCTGCTAGTCAAATGTGTTGCTTTAAGTCTTCTTTGAAACCCACTGACTTTTGGAGTTATTGCCTGCTTCACCATCACAAAACTAATACTCCAGTACATTAGCTATTACAATTTTCTGGATGAAATGAAAAAGAGGCTTGTACAGACATCACCAACATCGCTCTCACTTAGTAAATAAACACAGACACTCACTGAATCTTTACCCAAGGATGAAGATGCCAGCATACTTAGAAGAGGAAGCTAAGTTAATCACTAGCGCTCATAGTCTTCCACACGATCCTTTGTGGAGGGAGATAAGCTGAGTTAGGGGATGTTGGAGAGCAAACCTAACAAATCAGAGTAGTTCTCTGAAAGCTGATTTTTGTCACTGCCTAAGACAAAGCCTTTATGTCTTGGCTTGTTTGGTCTCTCTGGGTTAATATCTCTGTATAGATCCGGATCTGCAAAGTCACATGTTCCAGGGAAAACAACACCAATAGAGTGCCAGTCACACAAAGAGCTGAGCTGTCAGCTGACCTGGGATCTGATAAAATGCAGCCTCATTCATCACCCAAGGTAAAAAAGTCTTTCTTTTCGATTCTTAACATAGTTCTTCGCTCTGATTTCTCCCCTTATTTCAGAGACCTGTTTCAGATAGGGAAAGACCATAAAGTATACTGTTTTATCATGAACTGTAAGAATTATGTAAACAATTTAGGATTTTTAAAAGTAACTAGGAGAGAGGTTGCAGAGGATTGGAGTTCAGCTATCAGCTCATAATCACCCGTAGCTCCAGCTCCAGGGCATCCGATGCCCTTTTCTGACCTCCAAAGTCACACACATGCCTCTTCCCCCGACACAATTTAAATAAATAAATAAATAAATAAATAAATAAATAAATAAATAAAATCTTTAAAAAAATAAAAATATGAGACAATTGCATTTAATAAGATTCCATTTTTAATTTAAGTAATTTGAAATGAACTGATTACAAATGAGCACGTTACAAAGGGACAAAAATTCAGCACCCAGGCTCCACAAAGCTCTCAGTGAAGCTGATGCATGCCTCTGACTCAAGCCCACGCTGCAAACCCCACAGACTACAGAAGACTGGAAAGAAGGCTAAGGTGTTTTCAATTATTCTTACTTTTTATCTTTGTGTGTATTCTCACCCCAATTATAGATTATAGTATCAAAATAGCTTCTACACCTTTGCACAGTAGGCGAAGGAAGGCTAAAAAGTCATCTATGAAAATTATAAGTTAGGGAGACATGTGTACCCTCTAATAACATCCGACACGTAGATGAGGTTGAATAAAACACAGGGTGAAGTGGATCCATCTAGGTGTATCTGTGATTACCCTAATCACGCTGTGTATTACGGAGTTTACCGCAGGGCACTGCAACTGTCTGTTTCGGAAGCCTCACCAGCGTGGGGCTGCAGGACTTACGTCTCAGTTGCCTCACAATCACTGGTAGGCGGTAGCGTTTGATCAGAGAGAAAACATTAAACAATGTTATAAGTTTTGTTTGAACAGGCAAACTGAAAAAGAATACCTCCCATAAAACCATGATATTAAATATACTATGTGCCAACGTTAGGCAGTATAGTGTTAGATTACTACGCGGACCAGCTGTCAATAGCTTTCTACAAGCTATAATCATTAACTAGAATTTACACCAGTATTTCCAATGCATTATTCGGCAGGGATTTCTTTACTTGTCATTTAAAGCTATTATTTCACTACTTATTTCATTTCGGTTTCTAGCACTGTGGTTACCTCTGAAACACTGCGTGGTTCTATAAACCCTCTCCTTTGGGTGGATTGAAAATTGGATCATCGGCAATGGTTATAACAAACATGAAGAACAACAGCCGAAGACGCTGGACTGAGCTGAAGAAACCCTCTGCAAGAGATGGAGGTGTCAGCATGAACACCTAATGGATCTCGGTGCAGAATGCCTTATCATGCACCTGGCCATTGCCTTCAAGAAGTTTACAATCAAAATCAGAAATAAAATGGAAGTGGGGGTTGCCAGGGAATCAACCCCCCCCCCCCCCACTCCCAGGCCCCAGCTTGGAAGTGGTGGGTATTGATTGCACAGTGAGCTGGTGAACAGTGACTGGCAAGACAGAAGTCATGACTCAGCACTCTTGAATGCACATATTCGTCCGCTCGCTGTGGTGACAAACAATATAAGATAACTCTCAGAAAACCTCAGTGCTCTTCTTGCACTTCGTAGCAGCTGCTCTGTTACCAAGCAGGTACAACAGGGTTTAGTAATGGCCAATGCGTTTTTATCTAAAACACAACCTGCTTAGAGCTCTTCAGGACTGACATCATTAGAAGGATGAAAGTTCCCAATCTTAAAATTAGACATTGTTAGAACTCCAGAAAGTATGCATTAGTTTTGTTCTCTTGCACATTTCAAGTATGTGGACTTTTCCACCAAATTGATCTAGAATTATAGATTCCATTACATAGCATTTCCTTCTGCATTAAAGTGTTGGTTCTCTGGAAAGAACATCTGAATACCACAGCAAGTTCCTATTACAGTTGACATGTCAGAACAGTAAAAGAAAAGTGACCACACTGGCTCTCACCACAGCCAGTCTGATCGATATTTTTTTTTTCATCGTATTTCTGTTGTTAAAGCAAAGCAAAATATCCGTGACATGTGTTTTTTAAAGTAAAATTTATTTTGTCTAGGCTTTTTTTTTTCAATAAATTGTCATCATTGTCTGGTTTTTGAAATTTTCATTTACTTAGAAAACTGTAAATGAAACATTTAAATGAAGTTGTAAGTCACTGTACATAAAGTATTTGCAATTAAAATGTGACCATCTGATTAGCAAAAGTAAGTTTTTAAACTATCAACTGTGACCTTGGGCAGCTCAGACTTTCTGTGGGGACAGGACTCATTACTGTGGTGGCCTCCACTAACAGCACAGGGTACAGCACTCAGGTCTCTGCTTCACCAGCAGTGTGCTTCCTCACCGGCAGGGCTGTTTACAGTTGCCTTTTTCTATTTCTATAGGACTCAGAGACACCCCCCCCCCCCCCATGAGTCCCCAGCAATAGGGCCAGAACTCTGTGCTCAGTCGCTCTCCCAGAGCGGCTTTTTGTTTTTGTTTTGATTTGTTTTTCCGGCGTCATTCGGGCAATAAATCTACCTAGAATTATTCACGGAGAAACATTGTCCTCAACTTTTATTCACATGACTGTAATATACCTAAAGAGAGGAAGTCCTTGCCTAGAGAGCAGAAAATCAGATCCATCTATTGAGCCCACTGAAGTCCTCTCTCTAACAGCCTGGAGAACCGAGAAGCCCATTCAGTTCTAATGCAAACTTGGCTTTGCTTCGAGTTGCAGAGGTATTATCTAAGTACACATCCATTAAAAGACGGATATAAGTGAGCCCACCAATCATAGGCAACTGCATAAAAGTGTCAGTGAAAGAGCAGTGTTCTATTTAAATGCTTCTGTCTGATCTGAGGAAAGAGCACAGCGCAGAACAGACTACAAGGTTTGCAGCCGAGCATCGGCCAAGTGGGCTGCTCGGAAAATACCAAACAGCATAAGCAGAGAACACTACCTTCGCAGCGGCATGATTTCACAAGCCATCCTCGTGTGTAAATCTGCCCGGGATCCCCGCGTGTCTTCCAGCCAAGCCCCGTGTGCAGGACCCGCGGAACACACAACCTGCTGCAGCTGACGCTGACTCTCCACCTCCAGCTGCAGGCAAGGATATTTATCGGCTGCCTCCACATTTACACTGCAGTCCACTTTGACCTTTTGTTCCAGGGAAGCAGCTGAAACCCTGAGCCAATCAGAGCAGGAGCAGCGGAGTGTGAAAGGCTGCTCCTCCCCCTGCTGCTCCTCCCGCTCCTCCTCCTGTCCCCACCCCGCTCTGCTGTGCGAACTCCCCAGTGGGCTTAGCAAGCCCCAGTAACCTGAGACTTTCCTCTGAGAGGTTCCAGACAAGCTTGTCAGTCTGTGAAGAGCAACCAATAACTGCGGGGAGGCCAGTCTGTAAGGCTCAACGTGCAAGAAAGCCAGCAAGAAAATGCATTGTCAAGGACAGACAGCGCCTCTTAAGGAAGCTGTTTTTTGTAGCCCAAGGGAAAACCTAGACTGAACCTTGTCTTCGTAAAATAAATAAATAAACAAATGAATGAATGAATGAATGAATGAATGAATGAATAAATAAATAAATAAATAAATAAATAAATAAATAAATAAATAAAT